TTACCTACCTAGCATGCTGCTGTTGGTTCAGACTCCGTGCCCCAAGACCAAACTACTCCTGCTCCTCCTCCCCGCCCTCCCCCACCTCCTCCTCCTCCTCCCTTTATCTTCTCCCTTCCTCCTCTTCTTCTTTCTCCCGCCTTTCCTTCTTTTTTTTTTTCCTAGCAAGAGCCTTATAAACCCTTTCTTTTCAAAAGATGTTAAAAATGGAAGATGTTAAAAAATGTTAAAAATCTTTTGTTTAACATCCTGCTGGAGGTGAAAGAGGTGGAAGTTGATTTATAAACACTCCCAAGTCAGCCAAAGTAGTTCTGAGAATTGGGTTTATTTCCTGATGCCTCTGATTGCGAATTCTAGAGAAATCAACCTTTTCTATTTAGTGTTGATTTTCTCAGTATCTGTCAATAATAGTGACCACCTTGGGCCTTTGCCAGTCTTGCTTCCACCTTGGGCCACCTTTCTTCTGCTTATAGTTCTCTGTTCACTACATTACCAACAGGGTTTCAATTACAAGTAATCTTGTGCTGCTGAAAACAGTCAATATTGTAGGTTTGTCCTCATATTCTTTTATCAAAACCTCTCTCTTCTTGCCAGAGAATAAGGAAGTAAAATATTTTACCTTCTGAATTAAAGATGCTCCAAATGTAAAGGTAGAGATGTGAAATAATTAAAACTGTGGGATGGACATGCCTCTTGTATTATAGAAATAGCTGTAACTTAAATAGGCATAAGGAGAAAAAAAACATTTATTCCCACTCTGGCTTTAAGTTCAGCTGTTTGATCTTTGGCAGTTTGCTTATATTCTATTGGCCTCAGTTTTCTTATATGGAAAACAGGACTAAAACTGTCTATTTCTTAAACCATTGTACAGAAGAAATGAAATGACACATGTGAAATCAGAAAAGGAAGAGAAGGTGTGCCCAGTAAGTTTCCTGGGTTCCTGGTTTGCATTGCTAGACACTTCTCTTAACTTCTTATTTGGACTAAAGGCCGCAAACACTCACTCTCATGTCTATTTAAAAATAAGACTAATGTCTGCCATCTAGTTCTTCCTTTTTTCCTCACTGCCTCAGAAGCATGGCAGTGTGTTAAAAGAGATAAACGGAAGCTCAGACTCCCATTACTACTAGGAACCACTCTTTAAAAACGTCAACAGGTTTAACTGCACAACTGTATTAAAAGAGTAGAAAGAAAGTAAAGGTGTGGACTGAGTGGTTATTAGTGGACTGAAAAGAATAAATACAACTGACCCATGGACAAAGACAACAGGGGGGAGGATTAAGTCTGGTGGGGGGCTGAGTAGGACAGGGAAGAGTAATGGGGGGAAAATGGAGATGACTATAATTGAATGACAATTAAAAATTTTTTTAAAAAAGAATAAATACAACCAAATGGGACTGTAGTTTATAATTGATATCATAGAGGATAGAGATAGGGGATAGAGAAAACTTTAACAGAGAGACCTCACTAAGAAATAAGATGATTTAAGCTTGTTATAATAGCAAAACATCAGACCACAATGTGCAGGGAGTGGCTGGATGTGTACTAAGTTGCTGTGATCACTCAGCTCTTAACTGATTGAATGATTCAGCAATGCTAAAATGGAGCAATTAGCCATGAGCAGACTGACTAGTGAGAAGGTATCTGTTTAACTCATAAACACATGCTTTTGTTGTCTTTTTTTTTTTCCCCCATAAATTATTGTCTAGGAAACTGTATTCCTCACCTCTATGGCCAGAATTAGAAACAACGGGAGTATGACTTTGTCTTTACAATTATTACAAAATGTAACTAAGTATTTTTTAAAACCTTGTTAGCAATAAATGAACATTTCACAAATGCACAAACATATTAGTATACATCCAGGTAGTGGGTCTTTACCATACATGATATCCTTGAAAAGACGACCAATTACATAGAATAAACAAAACATTACCAGATCACCATTATGTTTAGGAATATACAGTTGACTTGATCAATACAGGTTTGAACTCTGTGGGTCCACTTATACACAGATTATTTTTCAATAAATACAGCCAATCCTTCATATCTGCGGATTTCACATCCATAGATTGAACCAGCTAGGGATAGAAAACAGTACTTTTCACATTCCCAACTGAGATTTTCCAACGTCAGATTCCCAACCACTGATTGAAAATACTGTTTTTTGATCTGAGTTGGTTGAAACTGCAGACGCATAGGGCTGTCTATAGTTAAGTTTAGGAGGAGTCAACAAAAATATATGGATTTTGGACTGTGTGGCGATCAGAGCCTCTAACTCCCACATTGTTCAAAGGTCACAAAGGTCACATGAAATGGACTAGGCATTATGAAATGGGCTATTTCCACGGATTTTGACTAAAAGTCTGAGGTAAAATAACTTAAAACTGAGTATCAAGCATGATCTGTATTGCTGCAATAAGGTTAATTTCCTTTGTGTTTTCTCCAGAAATTAAAGTAAAAATATATGTTATTAACCACCTGTTATATGCCCAGCACACTAAACATTATATATGTAACTTAAGATGGTCATTGTACTCCAAGAATGCACAATCCTGTATAGAGCGGACAAAAGCACAAAATGGTCAAAAGGCCATATTACATATAACCTAGTACCATTTTTGTGGTTCAGACTTTGAGAGCAACAGATATTTTTAAAATGTAGAGACCAGTGTGGGTGGGAGAAGAAGAGAGGCCACGTTTTAATGCCAGGAGCCTGGGCAGAGCCTTTGGGGCGGGCCGGACCACAGAAAGCACCGCTCTTGGACACCTTTCCCTGCCCTATCGTCCCTACCTCCCTAACAGCCTTACTTTCACACTGCTTCCTCTGATATCATCATCTTCTTACACAACCACTTTTCCAAATATCTTTAAAAATTCTTTTCCTTTCCTTCCTGGGTAATATATTATGTGTGTTAATTATATTACATACACTAAATGGATATGTCAGTGGATCTCAAAGATTACTGAGATATTTTTAATTTTTCTGTCTTTCTGAGTGCCTCTTTTGGTTGATTTTCATGAATGTGTTTTCAAGCTTCCTGATTCTTTCTTTGGTTGTGTCCAAATTCTCAAAAATGAATTTTTTCATTGTAGTTTTCTTTCAATTGTAGGACTTCCATTTGCTTCTTTTTGGAAGTTTCCACATGTCTTCTTAAATTTCCTATCTCTTCATTCACTATATCAAATTTTTCTTGTGGACCTATAACATTTCCATGATGGTTGTTTTAAAGTCCTTGTCTATTAATTTCAAATTTCAGCCATTTGTGATCATTATATTTGCTGATGTTTTTCTTGATGATATATCACATTTTCTCTTGCTTTATATAGCTAGTAATTTTTTGTTATATATTTGACATGTGGCATTAAATTATAGACCCTGAGATCTGTTATATATTTCTGAAGAGTTTTGCAATTTTCCTAGTAGATACCTTAGATCACCTTTACTTTGAGGAGGTTTGATTTTACTTTTGACTAGGGTTTGTCTATTTCAGTTTTGCTCTTAATCCTAGAGGCATATCCCTTAATTCTGGAACACAGTCTTTATTCCTAAACTGTGGGTTTTCTGATGTTTTAATGAACATTCCAAGATATTTATCAAGTGCCTCTAACTTGGTGAGACTCATACCCCAAACTCTGCACCTCCCCTGTGGTGGGCATTACTATAAAATTCTGCTCAGTTTTCAGCCTCCTAGCTCTTGTTTTTCTTGTGAGTCCTTGACGTTTCACACACACGTGCATAACTTAGAAGCTTCAACTGATTTGCGAGCTGGTTAATACACATATTTTGGGCTTGTCCTTCTCTGGATCTTTCCCTTTTCAACTTGTCTGACAATCCTACACTCGGTCCTATGGCTTCTCAGACCAATGAGATAGTGGCTTTTTGTATCAGTGTCAGCTTTAGATACCAAAGTGGTAAGTGCCCTCAGAGGAAAAGATATATAAATATAAATCATTTCCAGTCTTATTCTCTTCTTTTAAAGGTTATCTCTCATCTGGTTTCTGTCCTTTCTTTTTTTTAATCTGAATCCAGAGCTTCAGTAGTTTTTCTTTTTTTCCTTCTTCCTTCAGAGTTTATACGTGTTATCTGCTGGAGAGTTAGTTCAACAGAAGCCACTCAGCTATTACCAGAATTAAGCTTTACATTTGATTTAAGTTGCAAATATTTTTGCCACTTAATATTTATGTTTATATTTTGCTTAGGAGGGTTTTTTCCCATGCAGAAGTTTTGCATTTGAGATATTAAAATTTATCAATTTTTTTATTGCTTCTGAATTTTGAGTCTTAATTAGGAGAGCCTTTCCCACTTCGATATTATACTGGAATTCATCCATTGTCTCCTACTTAATACTTAATATTTTTATTTTCTACATCAAACTTTTTTATCACTTTGGATTTTATCCTGAACAACAACAAAATGGTTTGTAGTATAGATCATATTTTTCTCCAGCTTTTTACCCAATTGTCACAGCACCATAATGAAGAAATTTTTATTTCCCACTATTAATGAATTTTATCTCTTATACACTAAATTCCTGAATGTATTTTGGCCTATTTTTTACATGTCCATGCATGCACCAGCACTGCAGTTTTTTGGTTATCAAAGAATTATAGTGTTTTTTATATCTGATAAGGTTGGCCTCTACACTGCTATTTTTTAGACTTCATATGGTCAAACTTGATCATTTATTTTCCATTTAAACTTTACCATAATCTTGTTAAAATAGAAAATACAGGTGCTTTTAATAGAATCACGTAAAACTTATAAAATAAGAGGAAAATATTTTTATTATGCTAATCTTACTATTCAAAAAACAATGTTTTTCCTCTTGTTTAGGTTTTAATATGAGTTCATAGATAGTGCATTAAAGTTCTGTTCATGTGCATATTTCTTATGTTTGTACCTAGGTATTTCAACTTTTTGTTATATTCTCATTAGTAATAAATTAGAAAACCTACTCAAAGTGACTTAACATTCCAATTCATATTTCTAATTTCAGCTAACAGCTATGAAATAAGAATGAGTAAAAGTCTACAAAGTATTCAAGATGATTTTAACAATGCCATTTTAGTGAATACATCAAAGCTAAGTCCTCAACCAGCTGGCACCAAGGAGATATTTACATTTTTACCAAAGGTTTTCATCAATGGACCTGAACATCAACTTGATGGAGAGACACAAGAAAGCCACAGAGTTTATGTGGCAATAAGAACCATAGATAAGAACTCCTTAGAATCTGCAGTATCTAACATTGCCCAGACTTCACTGTTTGTTCCCCAAAATTCTGCTCCAGTACTTGCCAGAGACCATCTTATATTGAAAGGAGTTTTAACAGCAATGGGTTTTATAGGAATCATTTGCATCACTATAGTTGTAACACACTGTATTTTAAACAAGAAAAAAGAAAGCAGATAGAAATGAGAATGGAACAAAATTACTATCAACAAATGCAGAGTACCTTCCTTCATTAGATATAATACCCATGCCCTTCACATTTTATAAAAACATACCAATAAAAACAAATTAATGTTAAAAAGCGCTTTGATTTTTTGCATAATAAACATCATATTTTTACATAATAAATAGACAAAAATTCTTTTATAACACTCTTTTTTAAGAGAAATTAGAAAATTCTTAAGCTCAGACAATGCACAAAATTATAAAGATTATTCTCCAAGGTAATGTCTTTAAAGGAAAAAAAGGCAAGATCAATGTCAAATCAAAGAATCAAGAGAACCTTGTATTTAGGGAAAAAAAAGAGCTCCTAGTAAAGAAAAGGAGGTTAGGTCTGAATCATATATTATAACTGTCTATATGAAGCAATTGTTTAATTACTTTGATTAATTTTCCTTCTCCTTATCTGTTCAGAACAGATTGTTTATGACTAAAGATCAATCTACATTTTATAAGTGATGCCTCTATGGTAAAATTCTTTACCTCTAGTCACTTGGTTAATTATATTACAGATCAAATCCCACTGCTAATGCTCAAAGAGATCTTTGTCCACAATAAAACTTAACCTTAAAATGTGGGTATTATCCTTTTCCCTGGCACCAATTTTGTAACAGAGGTCTATTAAATTTATTGTTTATAAGTTTCTACTCTTATCAAAGCAACTTTCCAAGTTATTGTCTTGAGTGTAATGCAACATAAATGGTTATAACTCTCATAAGGTTCTAAGTAAAAAATAAAAGACATAGTTCTAAACTTAGTTTAATACATATGTAGACTATACAGTTTCATTCAATTTCATTCCAAAAAAAGGTCACAGGGTAATGAGTGACTTTTAGAAATCATTAACTGATTCTGTTTTTTTGTTTAACTAAGAGTCTAGGAATTCTTTCTCGATCAAGGGTTATTTATCTACAGGGGTAGGGAGCAAACTGAACGAGGGAAGCATGGGTCACAAGAAAATAAAAGTGATATTTCATCTAATTTTACTTCTCATTTTAAAGAAAGACTATTGAGTAATAGAATCATTTGCTTTGTATATTAAGGGACTGAAAACTTTATTGGGTAAATAGAAACAATAACATGGAATAGATCTGTTTTACAATCAGGACCACATAAAAGTAAAAATTAGATTAACTTTTGGGGAAAGGAGGAAATTGTGGCATATTGGGACAATAAGAAGAAGTAACAGAGAGGGTGAAGGCTTAAATAAAAGTGTCAGAGCAGTATTGGGGAGAAAAACAACCAACAAATCTCTCTATTGGGGCTGCTTCCTTGCAGTCTATACTACATCCCAGGTCTGGCTTATTACATTCATAGTTCCATAGTGCCTAAATTTTTGCAGATGGTAGTTTCCCCAGTTGGCAGTCAGTCTCTCCTCCCTCTAATGCCATGATACCTGCTAACTTGGGATTTGCTTTCCTGTAGCTTCAATAGGCTGGTAAAATACTGAGATGGAAAGTCATAGGTTTTAAATCCTCAAATGTTTTCCTCATTTTACAGATAGGAAAATGGAGGCTTAAGTAAATAACCGAAAGCTCTATGCTGCTTAATGGCAGGGCTACATAGGAGCACAGCCAGGTTCTCATACTACTCCTTCACTCCTCTGTATTTCAGAAAGAGTGGGAAGATGCTAAGGATTATGCCTAGAAATATTTAACTCTTTCAAAATCAATTAGCAGGAAAACAGGTCTGGCTTTAAGGAAATAGTTTTGTTTTTTTTTTTCCTTTTCCATCTTATAGGTGCAGAAATGGAAAAAAAAAATGGACTTAAGTCTATGGATTAGTGAATTAGAAGAGGCCAAACTAAGATAAAAAAATGCTAAGTGACAAATGAAAATACTATAGCAGGGTAGAGAGGGCCATTGCATCAAGTGCAAAGGGTAAACAATATCCAGTGGTTGTGGGGGAGTGAAGCATTAAAGAACAAAATAAATATGTGGTAAATATGGAAAGATATTGATTTAGAGAAAAAGAAAGTTAGATTTCAATAGGAGGGAGATAGAAGCAGAAGGTAGGAAATCTTTAGGGAATGAGTTAATGTAGCCCATGCACTCAGCAGGTTGCTGTTATGTGTGCACTGCTGACTGCTCTAACAGTACCTTCCCATCTGTGTGTTAGTACCAGGAAGTCTGCAAAAAATGTCTTATTTGCTTTAGGGTTTGCTTTCTACTATAATGTAATTATTCTTGGAAGAATTTATCCCTAAATAATAGCATTCATTTAAAACAATCTGACATATCCAATTGCACTAATGGCAGGGTTGCTCATATCAAACTAATCCTCCTGCTGGTAACAGTTATAATTCTAGAAAAAATATAAAACACATTTTTGGAAGGCACTGGACATCAACAAAAGCAGGCAGAAACTGAAGGAGATATGGCTTTGAAAAAAGGCAAGCAATCTAGGTGAAATCCACATTTAATCAGCTTTTCCCCCCAAAGGCTTTCCCAGTTGCTTAGAGCATCTGGACAAGCTCAAGCAGAATACAACAGTCTTACTGAATTGGCAGGCCAGAAGTAAGAGTTCTGGGGTACCTAAGCACTTGGAAATCCCATAAAGGAAGCAACCGCCAAAGGGAAATTTCCCAAATCTATATCTACTTAATCCTTGGGTGAGTCCTAAATTGTGAAAGAATGTAATGGAAAACAAGAGATTGAATGCTAAAATTGCTGAACAGAGATTTCAGCAATTTTCTGGGGAGAAAAAGTTTAAGGTTTAATCCTACCAAAGTTAGAGAGCTTGATAAACACCTTGTGTTTCCATTGAAACTCCAGAGGGGTCACATTAGGGATAAGAACCATTGTCCCAGTCTAAGAGTTATATCCTAGAACCAAGGGCAAAGGTGAAATAGATTTGCTCTGACAAAGCCTAAAACCACATCCCCACAGAATCAAGATGATTAATCAATAATGCAACTACTGCTATAATATAACTCAGAGGAGGAAAACATAATACAATCTCAATAACACATCATCTAGTATATCCTAAAAATTTAATAGATATGCCAAGAAGTAGGAAGTTAGTCCCATTATTTAAAAGAATAAAAATATGTCCATAGAAGAAGGTTCAACAATTATCCAGATTTGGAACTTGCAGATGAGTTTACAATAACTCTTATATAAATGATAAAGAAATTACAGAAAAAGGAAGTACAAATGATGAATAGAAGAGGAAATTTGGGAATGATGTGAGAACTTTAAAAAGAAGCAAATTAAAATCTTAAAATTGAAAAATAGAATATATTTTTAAAATATATAATGAATTAACAGCAGACTGATATTCTAGAAGAAAAGATCAGATGACCTGAAGAAAGGAAAATAGAAAGAATCCAAAGTGAAGCATTCATTTTTAAAAAATGGAAAAGCCAAAATTGCCTGTGGGACATTATAAAGCAGTCTAGTGTACATGTAAGTGAGTCCCAGAGGTAAAAGAAGGAAAATTGGGCATAAAAATATTGAATTTTAATGTTCAAAATTGATTGAAACATCAAACTACTGGTCTAAAAGACTCCGTTAACCTAAAACGTGACCTACACAAAGAAAGTAACACGTAGGTATATATATAGAAATAATGACTGACTACTCATCAAAAATAATTGAGACCAGAAGACAACAAAATGACATCATAGAGGGCTAAAGAAATCTGTCAACACAGAATTCTATATTGAGATTCTATATTGAGAAGATTCCAGCCAAGAAGGAGGCGTAGCTAAAAACGCTCCACTTCCTTGCACAACCAGAAGAAGGATAACAACCAATTTAAGAACAATAAACAACCAGAACTGCCAGAAAAATCAAACTGCATGGAACTCTTGACAACCACAGAGTTAAAAAAAAAACCCAAAAAACAAAAAACATTCATCCAGACAGGTAGAAGGGAGAGAGAGAGGACCCACAGCAAAGTGGTGACCCAACCACCCATGCTGGGAAGGGGGAGAGGCTAGGGACAGGGGTGGGGGAACTGGCTGACCAGGAAACTAAAGACTCAAAACGTCTGTCTGTAAAATTCTGTGGAGGTTGTGAAGGCAGGAGAAAATCTCAGTCTCACAGAAGAGTTGTGGAGAGGCCCACAGGGTCCTAGAACGTACACCAGCCCACCCACCTAGGAATCAGCACCTGAAAGGGCACAATCTGCTTGTGGGAGGTGAGGGAAGTGACAGAAAGTGGGGCGAGAGCAGAGTGATTGGCATTGTACCCTTTTGGACCCCTCCCCCACATACAGTGTCATAACACAATGACCTGGGTTGCCCTGACCTGGTGAATACCTAAGGTTCCACCATTACAATGTAACAGGTGCAATAAGACAAAGAAATATGGCCCAAATGAAAGAACAGATCAAAACTCCAGAAAAAGAACTAAGCGACAAGGAGATAGACAACCTATCTGATGCAGAGTTCAAAACAGTGGTAATTAGGATGCTCACAGAATTGACTGAGCTCAGTCACAAAATGAAAAAAAAAAAATGAAGGCTATACAAAGTGAAATAAAGGAAAATATACAGGAAACCAACAGTGAAGGGAAGGAAACTGAGACTCAAATAAATAATTTGGGAAAAAAGGAAGAAATAAACATCCAACTAGAGCAGAATGAAGAAACAAAAATTCAAAAAAATGAAGAGAGGCTTGGGAACTTCTGGGACAACTTTAAATATTCCCATATCCGAATCATAGGGGTGCCAGAAGGAGAAGAGGAAGAGCAAGAAATTGAAAACTTATTTGAAAAAATAATGAAGGAGAACTTCCCCAATCTGGCAAAGGAAATAGACTTCCAGGAGATCCAGGAAGCTCAGAGCGTCCCAAAGAAGTTGGACCCAAGGAAGCACACACCAAGGCACATCATAATTACATTACCCAAGATTAAAGATAAGGAGAGAATCTTAAAAGCAGCAAGAGGAAAAGAGAGTTATCTACAAAGGAGTGCCCATAAGACTGTCAGCTGATTTCTCAAAAGAAACCTTAGAGTCAAGAAGCGGCTGGAAAGAAGTATTCAAAGTCATAAAAGGCAAGTACCTACATTCAAGATTACTCTATCCAGCAAAGCTATCATTTAGAATGCAAGGACAGATAAAGTGCTTCCCAGATAAGGTCAAGTAAAAGGAGTTCATCATCACCAAGTTCTTATTATATGAAATGTTAAAGGGACTTATCTAAGAAATAGAAGATCAAAACTATGAACAGTAAAATGACAACAGACTCCCAATTATCAACAACTGAACCTAAAAAACAAAAACAAACTAAGCAAACAACTAGAACAGGAAGAGAATCACAGAAATGGAGATCACATGGAGGGTTATCAGGAGGTAGGGGGAGGGGGAGAATTGGAGGAGGGGTTGGGCAAAAGGTACAGGGAATAAGAAGCATAATCGGTATTCATAAAATAGGCAGGGGGAGGATGAGAATAGTTTAGGAAATAGAGAAACCAAAGAACTTATATGTACGACCCATGGACATGAACTAAGGGTGGGGGGGAGGGAATGCTGGAGGGTGGGGGTGGCAGGGAGGAGTATGGATAAAGGGGGGGAAATTGGGACAACTGTAGTAGCATAATCAATAAAATATACTTTAAAAAAAGAGAATTTTATGTTGAGCAGAAATATCTTTAAAAAATGAAAGCAGATAAATAAAAGCTGGAATAATTTTCACTAGCAAGAAATTACTAAAGGAATTTCTTTAAGCTGAAGGAAAATGATGTCTGATGGAAATATAGTTCTATACTATGAAAGGAAAATCACTGGAAATGGTAAATGGTAGGTAAATAGAATAAGCTGTTGATTTTCTTAGTTTCTTTAAAACACAATTAATTATTTAAAGCAAAAATAAAAGCAATGTATTGTAGTATTAATATGATAAAGAAGTAGGACATATGACAATGAGAACAGGATGGATGGAAATGTGACAAATGGAATTATATTGCTGAAAGGTACTTACATTATACATAAAGTGATATAATAGTAATTCAATACTAGGATAAACTAAGGGTGTATATTGCAGTCCCTTTGGCACTCATTAATAATAAAGAAGAGTTCTTAAAAAGTTAATAAATGTGATAACATGGAACATTACCACTAAACTACCTAATTAACACAAAGAGACAAGTGAAGAGCAATAAAGGAACAAAGAGTACAGGGGAATAACAAATCAAATAGCAAGATAGTAGACTAAATCCAGCTAAATAATAATTTTATTAAATATAAATGGACTAAACATTTCAACTAAAAAAGTGATTTTCAGGCTTAATGAAAAAGCAAGACTCAGCCATATGGAATTTACTACAGATGCATTTTAAATATACAGACATACAAGTTGAAAGTGAAAAAAGAAAATTGCATTTCATGCAAACACTAAGCATAAGAAAGCTCTATTAGTGTGTTGCTATAAAACAAAATAGACCTTGAGAAAGGGGAGGCAAAGAGGGTCGTTCCATAATGATAAAAATAATAAATTCATCAAAAACATATAACAATCCTAAATGTGTATATACCTATTAATAGAGTTTTTTAAATGCCAGAAACAAAAAAAAAAAGTCTAGAACTAAAGAGAAATAGACAAAGAGAACAATTGAAGTTAGAGATTTAACTCTCCCATTGTCAATAATTGTAGAACATCTGAACAGAAAAACTCAGTGAGAATGGAAAATATTTTAACAATATTATCAACCAATTTGACCTTGACATTTATAAAACACTACAACCAGCTAGTGCAGAATGTACATTCTTTTTAAGAATTCATATGTCATTTACCAAATTAGATCATGTTCATAAAACACATCTCAGAATACGTAGCCTAGAAGCAGACCTGCACACATGTGGTCCATAGGTTTTCTACAAAGGCATGTGCAAGTCAGTGGAGGAACACAACTCAATGGGTAAAAGAGTTCTTTTTAATAAATAATGTTGGAAAGCAAGATATATTTGGGAAAACAATTTTATTCTATCTTTAATAAAATATGAATTCATGGTAGATCATAAATATCAAGATATAAACTTTATTTTTAAAATATTTTTATTGTATTTTTTCCATTATCATTTATCCCTCTTATACCCTCTCCCACCTCCACCCAGCCCCTCCCACTGCTATCACTACACAGTTGCCCATGCTCTAAAAAATATAAAAGAGTATCTTCACAGCTATAGTGCAGAAAGATTTCTTAGAAAAGAGGAAACACTCAGCATAAAAAAGAAGCTGGACTGCAGTAAAACTAAGTATTTGTATTCATCAAAGGGCAACATTAATAAATGAAAAAGACAAGTTACAGAATGGAAGAAAATATTCACAACATATATATGACAAGTCATATCCAGAATGTATAAAATATTATAAATCAGTAATCAAAAGACAAGCCAATAAGAATGGGCAAAAGATATAAATGTCATAATAGCAGTTATAGCAAAAGTGTGCAAGTTGACTAGAAGGGACACAATGGAGCCTTCTGGCTGAGTGAATGTTATATGTATTGATTGGGATGGTTGTTACATGGGTGTATATATTTGTCAAAATTACTTTATCTGTGTACACTTCATAG